ACCACTGAAACCATTGATCTTTTTAGCTGTCTGTAGGGGGGGGATTCTTCCCACTGACCACCTGTCACGAGTTCCCCAGGGAGACTCCACTCCAACCCAGATGGCTGACCACACACTGGCAGATACAAATCTTATATACAATCTGGTGCACTGAATAGAGTTGAGGAGCAGCTTGGCAATCACACACCCTTCTAGGATCCCTCCAGCTATCCTACAGCTAGAACCCCGGTGTTAATCACTCTTCCACTGTCCACACCCCCCCCCACACCAGACACACCACAAAAAGTAGCCTGCCACCACCCAACAATTTATCCGCAGAACGCTCTGCTGGGACACCCCACACACACAGATCTCTGTCTGGCAGATCTGTTACCGTTACAATCTGCACGCAATCTGCCCACACTCAGTGCAATTGCATACAGATTGGCAATGAGCTTGACCAAGCGTATAAAGGCACTAAAATACAATACAATCTAATCTCTCCGAAGATATGAGCCCACTTAAATACACAGAAGTCACTTATTAATTTTAAGATTTAATATCCCGAAAGTGGGCAGTGCATAAAATATGTACAAAATATAAAAAGTTACAGAAAATACAAAAATACAGGAAGACACACATAGGCTATTCACTATAAAATAAAAGGGAATAAAACAGAATAAAACTTTTACCCAGATTTATCCTGCGACTGGAGCAAGTCAGAGAGACAGCAGTCCGTCAGTCAAATCGAACCCGCTCCATACGAATTACGCTGTTCCCAATGTCCGGGTACTCAATTTATGGGGATATGGACATAGGCGGGACATTAGTCCTCGGTCAATTGACCCTGGGGGGGGGTGTTCCTGTACCCGCCCACAGGATGTTCTGGGTGCTGACCTGCCCAAAGTCAATCGGACCAAGACCGATTTGAATCACCAAGTCCGGGATTGGATTTCCAACACCAGTGCATCAGTCCGATCGCGACAGTACCAATCACTGTTCGGCTGTTGCAATCCAGTGCCACCTAGGCATTTCTTGCATTTTCCTGGCATTCTGCCTAAGGCACAAATACGGTTTTTATATGCCGATGTAACCCACAGAGTGCCCTATCAGAAGGAAGTATTTTCATCTCTCTGCAACTAATATTTTTTGCTTGTATGAGGGATGAAACAGACTCCTTTGATGTATGTATATACTTTAAAACTCTGGTCTTCTGCTGTCATGAAGCCAACCTGTGTCCAGCCGTTTCCTCTTTTATTTCAGGAAGGTAGCAAAGCCTAATTATAGACAAATCTCATTGGCACTTAGGTGTCACATCCAGAGGAAGCTAGATCCCTTCAGATGCTAATTTGATGATCATCTGTCTCTGAATACCTTATTTCTTTAATGACCAGGACTGAAACTACATTTTGGATTACATTGTCATATTTTCTACAGGTCACATCTTATCTACTCAAATCTGTACATTTATGTCACACCACCAATGTAAGCGCATTCTTCCCACTGAACATCAGGCTAATGTACTATGCGCTGTAAATATAATAATTACTAGCAGAGGTTCCCAGAGACTGGAAAGGTTAACTCCGTATAACACGGACCAAAGGTAAAATATAAACAGCCTATAAAAAAAACATTAATAACAACCAGGCCCACTATCCATAATTCAGTATTCATGCAGCTGCACCTATCACTGAAATGTTTAGCATATGGCAGTTCAGGTGTGCCGCAGTGAGACCCACATAGTTCCTTGTGGTTGCACCTTCTGGACACTGTTATATTAGTGCTTTCCTACAGATCTAGGCTGCCCTTCCCATATTGATCATCCAGGGCTGGGCTGCCCTGGCCTTTCCACCAACCATTGTCCCTAGTCTTTGGACTGCCCTTTTCACCAATCATTGTTCCTCCATGGCAGGACTACCCTTTCCACCAATCGCTGTCTCATTTGTCTTAACATGATTGGGCTGCCCTTTCCAGCAGTCATTGGATATCCAGAGTTAGGCTGCCCTTCCCCCCCAACCATTGTCCCTATAGTCCTGGACTGCCCTTTTCATCAATCCTTGTCCTTCCATGGCTGGACTGCTCTTTCCACCCATCATTATCCCTACAGGATTGGGCTGCCCTTTCCACCGATCATTGGCCCTACGGGATTGGGCTTCCCTTTCCACCAATCATTGTCCCTACAGGATTGGACTGCCCTTTTCATCAATCCTTGTCCTTCCATGGCTGGACTGCCCTTTCCACCCATCATTATTCCTACGGGATTGGGCTGCCCTTTCCATCAATCATTGTCCCTACAGGATTGGGCTGCCCTTTCCACCAATCATTGTCCCTTCAGAGCTGAGCTGCCCTTCCCACCAACTATGCCTTTAAATATTGGTCCGTTATAAATCTTATTTGATCCTTTAAAATATGATAGGCAATATCCATGTCTTACATGTTGTAAGGGGTGGGCCAAGTCTAGACTTCTAGAGTCACAAATCAAACATCTGTATGAGAGGGTGGTGATCTAAGCACAAACCCAGCTGACAGACCACATACCATTCCACATAGTTTATGTATGTGTGTTGTTCTCTCATTCCTAGATCATCCCTCTGTGCTACCGCAGATCAATGAGGCTGAGCAGGAGCTAGATCCCGATGTTGGTCCTCCATCTCTGCTGGTCCCGGGACAGGCACACGTCTTCCTTTCCAAAACTGTGAGGCAAAACTTATGTTCAATCAATGAAACTTCAATCCAACTACTATCCTCTTCTCTCCAACATACTGCAAATTAAGACATAGCCTTCATCCTCCTCCATTACCTGATGAAACCTATACTCTGCTACCTTGTATTACAGCATACTGATCCATCATGGTTTCCTTCTCCAGTCTCTGACATTGTTACCTTTGTATATAGCTTATTGATCCTGCACTCTTTCCTGTGTTACTATCTGACAAGGCACACACTGTCACTTTATGTACAGCTTACTGGTCCAGCACTGCTTCCTTCTCCCTATCTTACACGTTTACTTACTGTCACCTTTTACACAGCTTACTGATCCAGTACTGCTTCATTCTCAACAATCTGACATGGCACACTCTATTCACTTTATACACAGCATTTGGATCCAGCACTGCTTCCTACTCTAAACTGTGACAAGGCTCACATTGTCACCTTATATACATCTTACTGGTCCAGTACAGCTTCCTCCTCCACTAACTTACAAGATATGTACTGTCACATTTTACACCGCTTACCGGTCCAGCACTGCTTCCTACTCTAAACTGTGACAAGGCACACATGGTCTCCTTATTTACAGCTTACTGTTCTAGCAATGCTTCCTCCTTCACTAACTTACAAGATATGTACTGTCACATTTTACACAGCTTACCAGTCAAGCACTGCTTCCTACTCAATGTGACTAGGCACACATGGTCTCCTTAGTTACAGCTTACTGGTCTAGCACGGCTTCCTCCTTCACTAGCTCACAAGACACATTAAGGGAGATTCACTAAAACTGGCACACACGAAATCTGGTGCAGAAGTACATAGTAACCAGATACCAACTTCAGCTTGTTCATTTAAGCTTTGGCAATAAAATCTAGAATCTGACTGGTTACTATGCACAGCCGCATCAGTTTTAGTAAATCACTCCCATACTCTGCCTTATACACAGCTTAGTGATCCAGCACTGCTTCCTTCTCCACCCACTGCCAGCCTATGTAAGAGTTCCCATTGCAGCACTGGTTCATCTTCCATGGTTCTTTCTTTCTCCTCTCTAATCTGACAAGTTATGTATGCCAAACAATAGTAGTGCTGAATCAATAGGTTATATGCAATATAGCCCAAGTACATACAGCATATACTTGGTGGGAAGAATGTATTTGTGTATATAATAAATATGCTCTCCTTTACTTCTTTTCTTCTCCTAAATCCTCTGGATCAGCCATTTTCAACCAGGGTTCCTCAAGAGGTTAGTAGGGGTTCCTTGAGCTGTGTCTGATTTTACCTCCCATTTTTGATTGTGCCTGCGAAGTTCTGGGATCTGCCATTAGGCAGAGCTAGCTGTATTACACTGATATTTTTTTTAGCTGTATGTAAGGGGTGCCTTCTGATCACCACTGTAGGGGGGCATTCTTCCAGTGGTCACCTATATCAGGAGCATTCTTCCAGTGGTCACCTATATCAGGAGCATTCTTCCAGCATTCTTCTTTCAGTGGTCACCTATATCAGGAGCATTCTTCCAGTGGTCACCTATATCAGGAGGCATTCTTCCAGTGGTCACCTATATCAGGAGCAATCTTCCAGTGGTCACCTATATCAGGAGCATTCTTCCAGTGGTCACCTATATCAGGAGCATTCTTCCAGTGGTCACCTATATCAGGAGCATTCTTCCAGTGGTCACCTATATCAGGAGCATTCTTCCAGTGGTCACCTATATCAGGAGCATTCTTCCAGTGGTCACCTATTCAGGAGCATTCTTCCAGTGGTCACCTATATCAGGAGCAACCTTCAGGAGCATTCTTCCAATGCTCACCTATATACCTTCCAAGAAGCATTTTTCTCCCTGACCTCCAAATAATTGGTTTAAACTGGAGTTCCCCGAGACCTGAAAATTATTTTAGGGGGTTCCTCTTGGGTATAAAGGTTGAGAAAGGCTAGTCTATATTATAAACTCCTTTAAGAAAGGACTCTCACTCCTAGTATATCTTGGTTTTTGCTTTATATTTATTTTGCTGTCCAACTAAATGGTTTTTGTTGTAAATCTTTTTAAGCGTGTGTATTATTTAACCTTGTTTGCAAAAGTGCTGTTTTGAAGGAGGTAATGGAGCTATATAAATCCTTAATAGAATATCCTTCTGTCACTGATCCCCTGCCATGCCGTTTCTGTTATTTACTTTTCCTTATCTGTAATATGGACACTGATTCGAATATGCTGTACCCTGTCACAGATGATCCGTGCTGAACAGTGCTCTGTCTGTGGACACAAGACCAGATTCGGGAAGATGTCCTTGAAATGCCGGAACTGTCGGATTCTGATACATCCCGAATGCAGAGACTACTGCCCCAAGCAGTGTCCTCCAGGCTCACTGCCTGTTCAGCACACAGGCCTGAAAAAGGGGCAGGTAATCATATTGACCCTCTTCTCACCCCATAGCCTCGGAGCCTTATGATTAGGTACTGCAAAATGCCTCTAAACCCTTCTAGTGCTGCAAGACATTTTATAGAACCTTTCCTTATTTAATTCACTCTCCCCGTTCTATATATTTTTCTCTTCATGCCCTTCTCCAACATTGTAATCTGTCATGTAGATATTAAAAACTAGCTTCACCTAATCAGATCAAAGTCCTCAGACTCATTTTACATACTGGGAGTTATTTACTAAAACTGCATGGTGCAAAATTTTGTGCATCTCTGTACAGGAACCAGTCTGCTTCCAGATTTTGTCAAAGCTTAATTGAACAAGCTGTTAGAAGCTGATTGGCTACCATGAACAGTTGCACCAGATTCCTCCAGTTTTAATCTCCCCCACTGTATCTGAAAATTGTTTGCAATGGGCTACCTATGGCTTCACGGTGGTCATAGACGGACTAATATCTTCTCAAATACCAAGATCCTTGCCCACTGGTAACGGCACCACAGGTTCTTTATGTTTGCTCCTTTTTTGCTGCTGCTCAGTGGAAGAAGAAAGTATTGGACTCGGAAGCTTTCCAAATGGTTGTAAAATCTCCGTATGTGACACCAAGAGCCTTCTACATCCGTTAGTGATCTTTAGGTTCCATGTACACTAGTGCTGGAAAAAAAAAACTCTGGTAATAGCGCTGGTAAAACGCTGATGGTATGAATAGGGCATGATTGGAAGAGTGGAAGATTTTTTTGGGAATATAAATTTATAAATGTCCAGTAGAGACACTGTCAAATATTTTTTTTTTTTCTGGCCGCATGTGTTCGCTAAGTGCAAACGCATTTTTACAAATTATTCCAAATAATTTTATGATTTTGTGTTTGAGCCGCATTCATTGACATCTTGGGCATCTTCAAATTACTAACTTCAGGTCTTTTCAGTATAGAAATGCCCGCAACGATAAAAGAAAAGAATTAGCGCAGCGCAGGGCAGGCATGACTAGGCCCAGAGTGGGAAGGAAGACGTGTAAGGGTTAATGATAGTATTAGGGTTGGTAAAGGATAGCTGGGGGATCTGGTTGGTAGAGGGAGAGTGTAGGTGGGGTCTTCTGCACCTTAGGGTGGGGTGTCCTGGGGAGGGGCGTCAGTTGGAGCTGGACGTAGAGAGAGAGAGAGCTTCCCTCCCGCCCTCCCTGTTTGGTGAGTGTTGTGTTCCTCCCGGGGGGGGGGGAAGTTATTTCGGTTCCTGGGCGGTGGTTGGTCTTTGGAGGCGGTTCTTATCTTGGAGGTACAAAAATGGTGTGGGACCCATCGTTGGTATGGTGTGCCCGGGAACATTCCAGTTAACCAAGGTTTAACTGGAAGGTGGTGGTGCTGCACTGCGGACGGTATGGTTGTCTCCGAGCTGGTTGGTTGCGGCTGGAGACCTAGTGGAATATGGTTGTCTGCAGGTGCATTTCGGATCGTTTTTGGGGGGGTACCTTCAAAGACCAACGACAACTCTTTTTGTTTCTGTTATAAGGAATGGTTGATGTGTTTAAACTTGATTTGTTAAAAGGCCGTGTTGGCCATTTTACTCCAAAATTGGTGTTATGTTTCTGTAAGTATAGTAAGTAAAGGGGATTGATATGGAAGGGTAATGGTGGTGTAGTGGGGTCTGGATGAACCTATCTCTGGTGCACTAGTCATGATACTGTTAATGCTACACCATACAAAAGCATTTAAGACAATTGTGCACCTTCAACTTTGTGGTAACTGGTGAAGGCCTTTTTTTCTGTTCCAGCATGACTGTGTCCCTGTGTACAAAGCCAGCTCCATAAAGACATGGTTTGATGAGTTTGGTGCGGAGGATATTGAGTGGCCTGTACAGAACCCTGACATCAACCCTACTAAACATCTTTAGGATGTATTGGAGTCCCGATTCCTAGCCGAGTCGCCTCTTACAACATCCGTACCTGACCTTACAAATGTTCATTTGGCTGAATGGGTACAAATTCCCACAGACACACTCCAGAATCTTGTAAAAGTCTTCCACGAACAGTGGAGAATGTTAGACATAAAGTGGGGCTACTCCATATCAATGAAATGTGATGCCCAACAAGCTCATATAGGTGTGATGGTCAGGTGTCCACAAACCCATAGCCATATAGTGTATAGAGAGTCACTAGAATGAACATATAATAACCTATGTATGAAAACTTACATAATGAGCAAAAATACAAAAAAAAATACTTTCAAAATGCTGTGTAAAACCCTCCAGGTTAGATACATTTTTGTTAGAGGCTGAGTAGCAGCTTGGGGAGTGCAGTGGTGAGTTCATTTCAAGACAGGCTGGGATGCTGTAACAGGCAAGACTTCTGGAGCCCTCCCACACTTCTAGAAACCTGAGAACTTTCTAGAACGAGGAGGAGGAGGAGGGAAGAAAGCCCAGATCTGCATGTTTGAGGGACCTTGGCCTATCCTCTGGCAGGAGGCTTGGCATGGTGACCAGGACAACCCTCAAATGTGGTAGAGCCTGGGGGGAGGTTTGCAGTGTCAGGTGGAAGATGGAGTGTGGAGCCTGGGAGGATGCCCCAGGGAGCCCACCTACAGGCAGGTCACTGGAAAAGAGGACCTCCACTGCCTTTAACGTCTTCCACGGAGCACTGCCTGTGTAGCATGTAGGAGCCCGCCCAGTGTAAGGCCTGAAGGCAGCCACCAACCTGCCAAGCTAACAGGAGAGGACAGTACGAGTACTCTTACACCCCCTGGGTGAAATAAGAGAGGGCAGTCAAGTGCAAGACCCAACTAGCGTCTAATCTTGGACTGTTCTAAATTAACAGCTTTTGGGTCCCTTTGCCCAAGAGGGTGAAGAGGAGGAATCATCTGGGGTCTGAGGAGGTGCACTAGAAAGAGCCTTTGGTGCCCTTCAAGGAAAGACTGTTGCTTCCCACATTTTTGTACATAGTTGCCAAGGCGTTTGTCTTCAAGTTCTGCAGCTCCTTGGACATCCCATATACCCGTAGTCCCCATCCAAGTTCTTAACCCCTTAATAAAATCACAAAACCAAGCTCAAGGACTGTTCTTTGAATCCAGTGTGCAAAGTGTGGGAAATGCGTGTTGCCTGGTCTTGCAAAGCTTAGGGGGACTAAATCAAATCCAGCGGTCCTTACGAGGGTAGAGCTACAGCAGTATAGTTTCCCTTTTAAGCAGATCAGGACTAACAATGATCACTAGTTCCCTGCATTCTGTTCTCTTACTGTATTTTTCTAGAATGCTTACACCATGTAACTGTAATTTGTCCATGAACAGAGACTACTGACTGACTTTGCTCCTGCCATGCCTCCCATGGTGCCCAACCTGGTGGTCCAGTGTGTGAATGAGATCGAGAAGAGGGGTCTGAGTGAGGTAAGAAGATCTGTTCATGAAGTTTTCCATCTATTTCTTGGAGGAAAAAAATTGTGTTAAGTGCTAGAATTTGGATTTAGTCACTTTAAAGGAAACCTATACAACATTTATTTATATAGGCCATGATATAGCTACAAGTGGTGACTAGCAAGAGTCAGTCTGCACATTAAAAGTTCTGATTTCATTAGATCTCAGAGGTTATTGTAGCCAGAGATAACCAGGCACCTAGCATTCTTGGGAGATCTGAGAGCCAGATATTTTATCAGTACAGCATTTATTTCACATTAAAAGCTCAATAAGCTTGGTTAAAGGCTTAATCCATCTTTAAAAATGGCACATATTTTTTCAATTAAAAAATGTGCCTGTGTAAGAGCCTGCTAAGCACTGTGCTCACAATCAATGGATTTTGGGTCAAATGCCAGGCTCCTGCACATGCTTCTGTACCTCAGTATGAGCTTTCAGTTTGAGAACTGGAGGGACTGTCAATGGATTACAAGCACAGTGATCACTGCAGTTGTGTTCCATTGAGCATAACAAGTCTCTCTGCCATAGTGGCACATGGGACCTGTAGTTCATTCACTCACAGATCTCTGAATGAATGGCATGGCTGTGCAGATAGAACCCTGCAAAGCTGCAAAAAATTCAAATGAAAGCTGCTGCAAGGAAGAAGAATCGTATTCTGTCAATGGGGAGCATTCTGGGGTGGGGGGGCACTGTGTTACATGCTATACCCTACTTATGGGTGTAACATGATGTAAAATATGAAGTTAGCCTTTTAATCATCTGCTAATATTTAGTAATCCATTATGTTCCTGTGCTGAACTGCTATAGGCAAATTTCTTGGTTATGATTGATTACAGCAAGCCACAGCTTTATGGTTTGGATTTTTACATAGAGATAGAACACTAAAGCGACGTGTAAGCTCCAAGTCAGAGCTTTCATAGGTCTAAGGACTCCCCATGTGACAGCACTTGGGCCTGATGATCGGCCACCCAAGCACCCAATGCGGCCATGTGAGAGGAAAGCGAAAGTATCACTGGCTCCTCGTTACCTTGTAGTACCGGACGTTTAACTTTTCTGTCCAGTGGGCTAACTGAGCATAAGGAGATCAAGCAGAAGGTCCATACAGACATTGTGTACAAATGATGTGGGGTGGGGAATGATAATTTGAGACTGTCATGTTGCCCAAAAACAACCCGCCACACACTAAAACTTACCTTTCACTGTGCTCCCCCACTGCTCAGTTAGAGTTGTCCTCTTGCTCCTGGGTATTAGATGACATATGATTTGCCTTCAGGGTACAGTGCTTTGGCTTGAAAAAAACAATCATCTGGTTCGAGCACTACAACGTAAGTAAAGGGAAAAAGTAATTAACCCCTTGGCATCATCTGAGAGGAAGCAAACACTTGCTTAGGTTGAGTTCTCAGCTCTTCCTGCTCTCTAAAAAACCACAAAGGGAATTTTTTTTGTATTTTTTTTTTTTTTTTTTGTAGAATACAGAGAAACCAACAGGAGGACATATGTTCTTCCTGCTGGAACAATGAAATGTTCTATTGTGGGAAAGAGGGAAATAACGCCTTTTGTCCCCAGAGGGGTCTATACCGCATCTCGGGCTGTGATCGGCAGGTGAAAGAGATGAAACAGAAGCTTCTGTATGGTAAAGTCAAGTCACAGCAGCTCTCGAAGGAAGACATCCATACCATCTGCAGTGTTCTAAAAGATTTCCTGCGCTCCCTACATGAGCCTCTTCTGACCTTCTCCCTCCATGCCCATTTCCTGGATGCAGCTGGTATGTTGGGGGGACCAGTGGGTTATATGTGTATGGTTTGGGGTGAAATTATGGAGGTACAACAAAGCTTCAAGACAAAAGTTCACTGCCTAAGCTATTAGGTGTATCTGCCAAGGTTGGTAAAGCCATGGGCTATTTAAAGTTGGACAAACTTTGGCTTTATATCCATTTTAAAGCACGTAGTCTAGTTTTTTTTTTTTTTTTGTTTTTTTTTTGGCTGAACAAAAAACAAATTCCACCATCCACAAATTTCAGGTGGATGGGGGAATCCACCCTGCTGTGTATCGAAGTCTCCGCTGTCAGAATACGCAGGTCAGTGCTGCAGTTGATGATCGAGCAGCCTTTATCCAACAGTGCAGTAGAACCGAAGCTGATCAGTAGATTGGCTTATGTCCAACTACAGTGGCCACACATGGATCAAAATTCAGCTGCTTCCTGCTGAACCGGCCAAATTTCAATCCATCAATGGCCACCTTTAAAATGGTTGTAAAGGCTAGACATTTTTACACTAATGGATTCCCTGAAAATGTCCCTGTATTTGCATCACCCCCTCACCTCCCTTACACTTACACTCGATCCAGCACTGTGCCCATCTGAGTGGCTCTCTTCTCTCTCCCTGCTCACAAAGCCAGCATCAGGAGCCATTGGCTCCTGCTGCTGTCAATCAAGTTCTGTGAGCAGAGAGTAGGGGGCAGGGTGGAGCCATGCTGTCTGTGTCTATGGATGCAGGCAATGTGGCGCGGAGGCGATCCTGTAGGTGAGTCCCCCATAGGAAGTGGTTTCCTATGGGGGTGCAAAAAGAAGAGAAGTGGAGAGTGCCTGCAAAAAAAATCCCACATTTTAGGTTGTCACCACTTTCAATGATAATGGTAAAAAAGACAAATAGGGGGAATCTCCCTCATGGGGGCAGAGGCAACAGTAAAAATCTAACAGGGTTGTAATCTTTTTCCCCTTCAGAACTAAAAAAGTTGTGCCTTTTAGTTTATACTTTAATCTTCCCACATAGAAAGCTTGGCTTTATATACTCAGATTTAAAGCAGAACACCTTGATTTGGTCACGACCTCCCATCCCCCCTCTTGGTTCTACCCTAATGAGGACCCCGGGCTCTGTTTTTGGCACTTTTTTTTTTTTTAAATCCTGGAGTTAATGGGTTAAAGAACAGTTAAATACACAAGTAATTTTATCTCCTTTCAAATGTTGAAGTCACCTCTGCCAGACAGCACAGAACTTCATGTGTCCTACCTACAGACTACTCTATATACACTATGGTCATGGACTCTCCTGAGCCTTGACTTGCCTCTTCTACCTGCCGATCCCCTCCCTATTGATCATTAAGTATCCCAGGGAGCACTCAGGAGGCTGAGAAGGGGCTGGGCAATGCTCAATTTGTGTTTTGTAAATGGCTGAATTTGCACATAACTTCAGCTGCCTGTATTTCTTGATCTATATAGTCTTTGAGCTGGTGGTTTTCACGGATGGCGGCGGCATCTAATTGTTTTTCTTCCCCTCATATGTTTAACATGAACTCTTCAGGTCTTTTGCATGTGTGATACATTATGATGTTACCCCAGTCATGAGCCAACTTGGAACCCTTCTTCAGGAGCGCCACAAGTCTCATATTGGTCATGTTGAGAGTTTTTCCTCTGCAGGGAAACTCAAGTCTGTTTTGGCTGGTTGTGAACAGAACATATTGTTTCCTAATTATTATTTTCTCATTCGAATTCAGAAACCGCTGGGCACATTTAAAGAAGGAACATTGATTTATTTTAGAAGATGTAGTCCTTTTTTGTCCACCTGATTCTTTCTCTGCACCCTCCCGCTGTTTGTTTTTTGCTTAAGGCAATTCCTTCATTTTCTCAATCCCCCTATTTTATTTATTTATTTGCGTGTTTTTTCAATGGAGGGAACACACAGAGAAACAACGTGAATGTAATATTTAACTGGGGATAACTGAAAATACGTAAGGGCTGTATGATAAATGATGGTCACTTTCTTTCTTTTCTACCAGCTTTGATCTAAGAAAGGTACTGTGTTCCACCAACCAAGCTACAAAATCTTCAAGTGGACCTTGTAGTCCACATTTATGTTTGCTTATCCCCCCCCCCCCCCCTTTCCAAACCACCATAAATCTAATAGACCAAGGAAAAAAATCACCCCAGTTAACGCAGAACTATACTCCCCTTCCATCCAGTGCTGTGGTCTCCCATGCTTGCCTAGTGGAGGATGGCTTCAGTTGGCCTTCTTGGAACAGCTGAAGATCCCAAGGTTCGCAAGAAGGCGATCTTGCAAAGTATAGGCATCCAACTAATCACGATTTGTTTACTTCTCCAGATATAAGTTCAGAAGAATAAAGGACATTGATGTTGTATTTCAAAGCAATTAAATCTGACCTCTACTTCAGGCCCCACATCCAATCACAGGCCAGATCTTTCCACCTTAACCTCCATAACATGTTAAAAAAATTCACCCCTTCCCAAAAAACAACACCACAGTTATGCATTTACTCCCCAGTTACACCTTTTATACCTCACTTTTTGAATATTGCAACTCACTCTTCGTTGGCCTAGCTCTACCCCCCCCCCCCCCCCCCCCCCCAAACCATCCTGAATCTAATAGCCCAAGGAAAAAAAAAATCATCCAATCACCCCAGTTAAAGTGGAACTATACTCCCCTTCCATCCAGTGCTGTGGTCTTCCATGCTTACCTGGTGGAGGATGGCATCACTTGGCCTTCTTGCAAGATCCTGGAACAGCTAAAGATCCCAAGTCTTGCGAGAAGGCGATCTTGCAAAGTATAGGCATCCAACTAATCATGATTTGTGTATTGTTTGCTTCTCCCAGATGGGGTATAAATTCAGAAGAATAAAGAACATTGATGTTGTATTTCAAAGCAATTAAATCTGACCTCTACTTCAGGCCCCACATCCAATCACAGGCCAGATCTTGCCACCCTAACCTCCATAATATGTAAAAAAAATTCACCCCTTCTCAACGAACAACTCCACAAAGTTATGAATTTACTCCCTGGTTATATCTCACTTTAAGTATTGCAACTCCTTCTTCGTTGGCCTACCTCTACACAGGTTACCCCTCTTGAGTCCATCATGAATGCTGCTGCCAGACTCCTCCATCCTGCCATTATTTCAGTGTCCACCACCCTCTTTGCCAATCCCTTCAATGCTGTCGGCTCACACAATGAATAAAGTTAAAAATCCTAACCACAACATACAAAGACATCCACAACCCATCTTTATAACAGCAACTTCATCTCAAAATATCACCTGAACTGTTCTCTTTGCTCCACCCAAGACCTCCTGCTCTTGAGCTGCCTTGTTGCTTCCTCCCATTCTTGCCTTTTCCAGAACCTCTCCCATCCTCTGGAACTACCTACCCCAGTCTGGCTATTCCTTACTCTGTCCACCTAAAGGTGATCCCTGAAAACTCACCAACTCTTCATTGAAGCCTCCCACCTAACAAATACTACTTTTTCCAACTCATCCCTATCACCTTTTGTATCAACCCCCTCCCCACCACCACCACCATCTTTATAGATTGTAGGCTCCTTTGAGCAAGACCCTCCTAACCCCTTATGTATTGTATCTGTACTGTCTCCCATCTAATTTGCAAATCACTATTTAAAGATAAACCAATTTCCATAGACAAATTGTGGATTCTGTCCAATGTAGTGCAGATATTGCATGTCCACTTGGCATTCTGCAGTGCAGTGGTTCTTGAAGCAGTATTAAAGCTTTGGCTTTTTTGCATTAAAATACAGTGGTTTTGCACAGAACAGCCCTGATCCTCCTCTTCTCTGGTCCCCGCTCCTGGCTCCTCCCCCTTAACTAGTGCTCCCAATAGCAAGTCGCTTGCTGCTGAGCCTGGCTCTATGCATCCATGAGACACATAGAGCTGCATCTTGGCTCCACCCCATGCTCTCTCCTCCCTGGCTGTGATTGAAAGCAGTAGAAGCCAATGGCTCTCGCTGCTGTGTCTCAGCCAATGAGGAGAAAGAGACCCAGGACAGCCAAGGCTCCCTTGCACATCGCTGGATCGAGTTGGGGCCCAGGTAAGTATTAGTCAGGGCTGGGGGGGGGGAAGCTGCACACTGAGTTTTTTTACATTTGTCCATAGAATGCATAAAGTTAAAATATCTTCAGCATTTACAACCACTTTAACCTTTTTTTTGAGTCACGGACCCCTTTAAGAATCTCGTGAAAGCTATGGACCCCCTCCCCAGAAATATTCATATAAACACCACTTTGCATGCAATGAATATGTATACTTGATTTTATTGAAATTTACAGTGCCTTGAAAAAGTATTCATACTACCTAGAAATTTTCCACATTTTGTCATGTTACAACCAAAAACTCAAATGTATTTTATTGGGAATTTATGTGATAGACCAACACAAAGTGGCACATAATTGTGAAGTGGAGAGCGTCTGTGAACAGCAACTTTCAAGTCTTGCCACAGGTTCTCCATTGGATTTAGTTCTGGACTGTGACTGGACCATTCTAACACATGAATATGCTTTGATCTAAACCAGGCATGTCCAAAGTCCGGCCCGCGGGCCATTTACGGCCCGGGGGTCAGTTTAATATGGCCCTCCAACAGCCCTCCCTGCTCTGTGTAATGTGGCCCTCCCACTGCCCTCCCTTCTATGGCAGACAGTCTTCTGCTTGAGAGCAGAGGGCAGTGCGCATGCCTGACTGCGGCGCATTCTCCCTGGTCTGTGTAAATGCGGCTGTCGCACGGCCCTCCCTTCTGTGGCAGACAGTCTTCTGCTTGAGAGCAGTGCGCATGCGTGACTGCGCCGCGCTGGGAGCAACAGAGGGCGGTGACGTCAGGGCCGGGCTTCCAGCGTGAAGTGTGTTTCTCTTCCCCTCCCGGCTGCCGAGCAGAGACTTCAGCTCCAGCTACCTTTTTCACCCTTCACATTAGTGCAGGTAAGTTTTTTTTTTATTTATTTTCAATACATTGTGAAAACTCAGCTGTCAG